ATAATGAAATTGTTTTCATTTCCAACAGTTTGTGACCAATTTCTATTAATTAGAAATCAAAAAATCAGTTTGTCATTTTACAAAGACAAAAAGTTTTACATAGTTTACATTATATATCAATTAATAATAAACAAATAAGTAACAAACTACCTCAACTATGGTAACACCTAAGTGCATTGCGTTATATTAAATTATCACTTTATCTTATCACAAATAATAATAGTGAATATAACTACGTTTATTTTATTAAAAAAAATAAATATTTTTATTGGAATCTTTTATTAATGATGCCCATGAACAGTATCGCAGACAACAACTTATAGTTGACTTGCACATAATGACTATTTGTTTATGTGGGTTGATATGTATTTTACTAGCATCGCTTGTCATATACAGGTGTTCACGTAATTTTACGAGGCCTGCGCCTGTCAATAATACTTATTCCAATACGAACTCGATTACAAATTTTGAAAAATTGAATAATCTGCTCTAGTTTGTTTACCCTTTAAAAAATTACAGCGTTTTTAGTTAGTAAGTGATTAAGATAGATAAACTAGAGTCATATTCATGCCGTCTCTTGATAGAACAAATTATAATTGTTTCAGGAAAACTGCAGTTTATGACTATTAATGAAACAGTGATTAGTTGGACAACTACTGGCATGGGTTTCCAAAAATTAAATAGTTAGAAGTGTTTTTTATCCAGTGTTCTGTGACTTTTGTATATTCGGGTGCGTACATTAGGCGCTAGCCTCGTAAAGTTGTATGAAACACCCTGTACTTACTGCATATCCCCGGATTGAGTTTACAATAAGAAAAGAAAAAACATCTTTGATTTTACGCCAAAACTGCAAAATAAAAACATTTTCACCTGAAACGAGGAAATCTGAAATTAAAATTGCTTTATTCTGGTTTATTGTATATAAAAATTTATTTTTTTCTTACTTTGGGCTTCTAATAATTTTTCTGAGTTAAATTCCATCACATTGGTGATTTAATTTTTTTGACAACGATGCCACTTTGACAAATGAGTTTATGTAAGTTAAATAACGTAAATATTTGTGAAAAACATAATTTTAATAAATAGCAACTCAAAGAAACAGCTTTAAAATAAAAATAACGGTCATTCTTCAACAAGAAAAATCATTATTCAATTAATTAATTAGTCGTCAAAATGACATCGTTGTCAAAAAAATAAAACCGCCAATGTGATGGGACATAGAGTCGTCTAATTTCAAGTTGGGTCGCAAAGATTCGCGAATCGTAGTTTGCATAGCAACAACCAATAACATTGCTTGACTTGCGCCGTATATAGTCAGAATAATGAAATTTTAATTAAGGATAAAGCAAAAAATGTTTTTCCTTTGCAGTTTTGACGTAAAACCAAAGATAAAAATTTGTTTCTTTTTGTAAACCCAATCCGGGGACATACTATACTACTCCAAAAAGTTAAAGGAAATTTTCCCTGAATTTTTTTGATTTTTGAAACGCTGTAACTCATCAAAAAATGGTCGTATCTAGATTTAAAAAAAAACATTTTGAAACAATAGCTTCATCAGATGCACGTCAAATCTTAATATAGTGGACATAATTATTAAGTACTAAAAAATTTTATCTATTAGGGAAAAATATAAAATAAATCAGTTTTTTAAATGTATTAAACAATCATTATTTTTAAACATCGTAGTTAAACCAGTGAATAATGAATTAAAACATAGAATAAGTACCGTGTTATCAAAAAAATAAATAAATTAGAGTAGGCGGTGATTAAAGTCTTTCAGATGGCAATTCTGATTTTTGACAACAAATGTTGTCAAAAAATGTTGCGTTTTATTCCTTTTGAGTGAAAAAATGTTCACTTTCGAGCAGAAAATTTTTATTGCTGTACAAGACGAAAACGGTGAATGGTCAATTTTACTTTCAGTTTGTGTTGAAAATTTCCAGCCCAGATTCCTAGCCAATGTGTTGTAGAATTCAATCGACGTCTACTCTAATTTATTTTTTTTTTGATCGCACTAAAGCTGACGCGGTTTGAGAAGAACACAGTAAGTCACCACGATTTGATAGTAAGCTATAAGTTTCGATCACTGGCGTAGTGGTTCTGTTCGAGCAACGGGATACCGCGTTAAAATTTGAGAAAAATAACAATTCACGCATAACGTATTCAGTAAAGACAATTTTTACTTTTATTTCAAACATACGTTCTTTTTTCATATAGTCACTTCAATTTCTCTTTCGTGCTTTGTGAACGGTTCCGGGCAAAATTTTTGGGTGGAGAAAAAAATGAAGCAGCTATTTCTTTAATTTGTTTTTGGAAAGAACAATAGCTTTTCTCGCTTATTTCTGTAGCTGCTAAAACACAATCTTTAGAATTGCACAAAAACAATTTTAAGACATTTTCCGCCTTCTCCTTCATAAATTTCATAACATTGGCAATTAATATCCGTGTTTAAGTTTGAAGGACCTTGTCTTTAACTTCAATCTTCGAGTTATTAGGCGTTGTATACAAAAGTATTATCTATAATAACGTTAAAATAATTTATTTGATATTAAAAATATTTATGAAAAAGTTTGAACTTACTTTGCACAATACAGAGCAAAACCGAGTTCTGAAAAGAACTGATTTTAGAAAATAAAAAAAGAGGAAAGAACACAAACGATACGAACACATTAAACAGTACTAAGAGACTGGTAAACTAAAATCGGAAAATTGTAACAAGTAGGTATCCCAAAATGGGTTTAACCCAAAGAATTCCAATAAATATTATTGTTTTCAACACCCAACAAATTCCACTACTTTCTTTTCAAATAAACTATAATTACATTTACCTACTTGAACCTCAACAAAGCCGGTGTCGTATTTGATGGATAATTGTGGTTCCATTTTGTTTGTAATTACAAAAATTTAATAACATTCCTTGCGAATCAATTGTCAGTTAGCTTTGCCTAGCATCGTACCCTGAATTTGAAAGTGGACTAGGTCCGACCAAAATTCGTCCGTCGCTCATCAACAGAGATATGTTCTTCTCAAATCGCGTCAGCTCTAGTAAGTAGCCTAATCCTAGACTTATAATTAAATAATAATAAGTGCCCCGACATCGCGTAATTTAGATGTTTAATTATGTGATGAAACGGAATTTATTCATTTTGTGTGCTTTTTAAGTAGTTGTTTTTTAATAATTATAGAAAATATGTTTTTTTTTGTATACGCTCCCAAAAAATAGCTATTATAAGATGAGTCTTTTTTGGTCTCAATAAAATAGTACGCAAAACCGTTATTTTAGTCCCTCAAAACAGTTTTTGCGGACTAAAAAATAAAATTGGTTACTATGGTAACGAAATTTTTTTAATTAATAAGAGGTGTGAATTCGTGTTTTGGGAGCTGTAACAAAAAAATTTTGTATGCACCACGTACGCAAAAGGTTTTAGGTGACTCCTCTCTTTAAAGACTCGGCTCCTACGTCGCCTCGTCATTGATTACGATTCGTCCCCTAAAACCCTATTTTGCGTACTTGATACATAAATAGCTATTTTTGTTTTTTCTATGTAGTAAGTAAATAAGTAAAAATACGCACCATCGGTGGACATAAAAAACTAGGACACACATGACAATTGTATAATTCGAAAAATTAGAAGTTTTTTACAAATAAGGTTATAAAAGTTATGACATATTGACAGAAACACATCAAGTTAAAGTTGAGTTTTAAAAGGGTTTTGTAAATAACACAATTGATCTAGCATCTCTTTATCTTGAAAGAACTTCGATGATCATCTTTAGATTGCTGACAGTTTTTAATTTGAGTGACAATATCCGAGCTTTTAATGTCCACCGATGGCACAAATATAATCAATTGTAACTGCATCCGAGTTAATTTGATTTGGGCATGGCAGTAATTTTTTATAATAATAATTAATATTTTTTTATAATAATAATAATTTTTTGTAAAAATTATTTTTGACAAAATTCTTTCCAATTATAACTGCCCAAGCCAAATTTTAACCAGGTTTATAATATTTTAACATAATAAAGTTTTGAAACATCAACAAGTTTAATGTTATCAAGAAATCATCTAATACCTAGAAAAAGATATTACATATAATCAACTTTGAATAGAACAATTTTTAATTATAATCATAAGCTTATAATCAAATAATCAAAATACATGTGAAAAATTGAAAAGTATGACATTTCAACTTCATGACAGTTTAGGGTGGGAAGTAGCAAGTAAGTATCCATTACGGATAATTACATACTAGGCGACGAAACGAGATACAAAATTGCTCGATTTTTTGTATCCAAAAAAGTAGTACGGCGGAGTAAAAATGAGGGCGCTTAGGGCCTTTTACCGTCTCAGTTCCCAATCAAACGATTAGATTAATTTAAATTCAACCAGTTTACTAATTGCTTGGAAAAAAATGCAAAATGTTGAGCTTTACATTCTTCATAAGCTGTGAAAAACGAACGACTTACTTTTTTTTGTATTACATAGTGTCGTGTCCTAGTCTTTAGATATCCGTAGTAGCCATTTTTCTACTTGGTTTTTAGATCTTCTGTTGCTTGGTCAGCAACATCCCTGAGTTTAAGAGGAGTACATTCCATTTTACTAGCACTATTAATATCGGATATGTTTATTTCCCACTTAATAAAAACATAAAAAGCAATTTCAAGATTTGATAATTTTTTTATTGTTTTTCTGTTCTTTCAGAAGGATGATTGTGAATAAAACAGTAAGTATGCTTACAAACCTTGGTGGTCGTTGCCATCGTAGGTAGAGTGGTCGCAAACTCGCAAAGCAAGAACAGCATGTTGAGTTATCGACATCTGACAGTACGCGGATCGTCAGTTGGCATAGGTGTCGTTGTAATTTGATAAATGTATTCTTTTTTAAATGTGTTTAAAAATTCTTAAATAAAATAAGGAGTTGTCATAAAAATAAAAATTATTTATAATAAGGTTTTAGACGTACAAGAACAAAATAATTATTATCTAATAAATAAATAAAAATCAGTCTTTGTCACTCAGTTATTTAGAATCATCGGAGTTAATATGGAATTACCGAAATGAATTTAAATAATATAGCATGAATGTTGTACATCGTTAATTTACATGCGGCATTTCTTGCAGCAACCTAGTTTTTAACTAAAGCCCAAATTTTTTCGATTTTAATTCTGGATGATAAAGCGGTATTTATGTAATGAAAATATTTTATAAAAGCTCGTATGTAAGTAGATAGTATTTTACCGTATTCCTACTTACCCTACTTTATGGGTAACCTACGCCACTGAGACTAAACCATCACTTAAATTTCAAAGTGGACTCGGCTAAACGTAAACCTCTTTTCAGTGCAACTTTATAGATGTGCTGGTCTTGCTTTGCGACCACTCTACATACATATACCCTGGCTTAATCGCGCCTTGGTAATGAAGCATCTCGCCTTGGTAATGAAGCATCTCCCACCTCGGTATTCAGAGTGATTCACAAAGAAATAATGAGCCTGAATTCTCCATGCAACCAACATTATGTTTTTATAAGTCAGGTATGAAATTATAGCGAGCATAGTTAAAATTTGTCACAATAGTATATTAAAATACCAGTTCAAATTGCTCTCAACTGACCTGATCGTGCCAGAAGGTGTTCTTTTTTCGGGATATTACTGGGCATAAGCGCAAGCACTTATTATTACTATTATTAATTAAAAGAAAATTAGCAATTAATGGTTATAACCCTTTGAATACGATTTAACTATTCCTTTTTTCTTCATTTTCCCCCTTTTCATCTAAAATATTTTTAATGTTTTTTTTCTACACCAGACTACAAATAATGATACGAGTACAGTCAAAATAAAACAACTTATGCCTAAATATAAAACTAGGTTATTGATACATGAGCAATTTTCTGTATGTTTATGTGACAGATTGTCTTTCTTCTTCGTTTGGGTGGCCGAAATGGTGATATCTAAAAAGTAATTGTAAATAAAATTCAAATCAAAAATAATAATATTAAGTAAGTTAGTAACTCATTTACAATGAAACAAAATTTTACAAATATTGTTTTAAACTATGTAAGTATTTTTATACAGGGTGCTCCAACTCGCGCTCCAGAGAAAAATGTAAGGTAAGATACCAGGGACATGAAAAATATGTTAAAAAAAATCTATCTAGAAAAATTCTAAATTGTAACTCTGTTTAATGTTATTTGTGGCTTTTATTGGCAAAAATTTTTGTACCTTTACTAAATAATTATAAAAAAAACATATACAAGACCATCAGAAAAAAAATATCATTAACAGTATCATTAAATAGACATAAAAAAAATGTCAAATGTGAAAAAATAAATGTCAAAATTTTTTGACAGATAGAATTTTTGAACGTTGTTTTCATGTTCCTGGTATTTTAACTTACTTAAAATATTTCTCTGGGGCGCGAGTTCTAACACACCCTGTATAAACGAAGAATCTGTGGCACAAGTGAACCCTACTGAAAGTGACAAATTTTGATCCCGAAAGTTCTACTACAGAGTGGTTATAAATGATTTTCATCTAGCCAGCTTTGGAATTTTTTTGCATGTAACTTTATTTGTGACGCTCTACTTTTTTGAAAGCTCTAGTTCTGTCATTAGTGTCACTTATTAATTAATAATAAATTGTTGTTAATTAAATTTTTATTGTTTCAACTAATTTCCAATAATAATTGATAATAATGTATACTTTGGAAAAAAACAAGTTTATAATTGAAGTCTATTTTCAAAGTAGACGCTTAGTAAACGGCGATTTTTTAATTTTGAGTTACAACAAGTAGGTACCCCTATTTTCGTAAGGCGGCATTTTTTATTTTACATGGAAAATTCACAGCTGGCTAGATGAAAATCATTTATAACCACTCTGTATGTCATACAGAAAAAAACATTGTGACATCAGAAGTAACGATAGCTGTGAAGCTGTGGTACGACATTCATTCAGAAATAATTTAAAAAAATTAAGCTAAACGAGGACTAAATATTTATCGAAGAATTATTATCCCAAGACACAGTGGCAGTAAGAAAGTAAATTTTTCGGATAATCCAATTTGAAAATTAGGACATTTTTTTACTCGACAATAAAAAGAAAATAAGTATAAATACATACGACACGTTGCTGTCCAGGATCTGTTGCTGTCTACAGGTTTTGTCTCATTATAACATCCATGCATTATTAAAGTACAGTTGTTAAATGTAGTTTGTTTTTTTAATGACATTTCAATTTTCTTCCATCCAAAGGTGAAGAAATCATTTGAAAATGACTACAAAAATATTGAAATGTAGAAAACATATTTATTTATTTTGTACAAAATACCACACGAGGCCCTTGATCAGCTGATAATTGTATTTCATTGCGATTAGTTTCATTGCCACACGTTAACAGTAATTTCATTAAACAATAAGAGCTGTGCAATGCTCGCACATATACTGATTCACCTTTTTTTAAACTAAAATTTCCTGATTGTATCTGGGTGTACTTTGTTGTTGTTAACACCTCATCTAAAACAAGCCATAATTTTTTTAACTTTTCAATACTTCTTTCATCAAAAAACGGTTTTTGTTATTAGTCGTTTGCTTGTCTCAGATAAAATAAATAAAAATGTTCTATTCTTTCCACAGCCAAAAATTAGAGATAAATAATAACAAGTGACAATTTATCGAGGAATCTAAAATTAATAAAATATACAGGATGTTACATTTAAAAAACTGACACTGATCTCGGTTCCGGTGAAACAGGAAGCAACATTGATTGAGTATCGATTCCAAACAATAGATGACAATAAACTGTGCAACTTTGTTGTAAGAAGTATTGTCATATCTTTAAAAATAATGCAGTTATGGCTTAGGACGTTTTTCATATTCCAACCTGTATAAGATTGTCGGTAACATTAAATAGACATAAAAAAGTCAAATGCCGAAAAATAAATGTCAAAATTTTTTGACAGATAGAATTTGTTTAAACATTTTTTCCACGTTCTTGGCAAGAGCGGATCCAGGCGGGGGGGCTCAGGTGGCCACCGAAAGCTTCAATTTTTTATTTTTAAATTTTAGGTAATGTAAAAACCTTATAACCCAAAGTTTTTAAATAAAAACATTAGAGTTCTTTTTAAATCACACTTATTAATACAAAGACATACCTACATATACCGAGAGATCAAGATAATTGGATCCGAAAACGTATGTCTGTTTTTGAACTAACTGCACGTGAAATGTCAAATAAAATGACAAGTAAAAAGGTAAAATGGCAAAATGGGCTGGAATTAGTCGACGTATAATAATTAGCCGACGTATAATAAAAGGACCCTTCTTTTTTGAAGGTAAATCATAAATTTAGTCATTAAAATTATCATGTTTATGATTATGCCATTTTACCTTTCGACTTGTCATTTTATTTGACGTTTCACAGACAGTTTTCGGAGCCAAGGACGACGACTTGATTACAAATAATCTTGATCTTCCAATACGTACTTAGTTTTTACTAATTTTAAAAAGAAATCATCAATTGTAACTTTTTTTGGCCACGTCTTAGGTATCTAATTAAATTAAATTTGTATTTGTTTATTTTAAATAATGAACTTTACCAACTCGCTAGGACACCTTATCCAGTGAGTTTACTAAAACTGGAAATATTTTGTTTTGACAAAAATGCTCGAACAAGTTAAGTTAAAAAAATACACAATATTCAAATTGATTTAAGGTTTTACACTTTTTGGTTTTTAAATAATGACGTCATCGACATTTTTTTAGCGTATTTGATAGATTTTTTAATTGTCGAAAAAACAACACCAAAATATTATGTATTACATTCATAGTTTTCTAGAAAAAAAGTTATTCAACAAGAAATGAAGCTATAATTTTAAACCAAGTTAAAAATTTTGTATTTTTTAAAAAGAAAATTGACCTGTTTCAACATTTTTGTCAAAACAAAATATTTTCAGTTTTAGTAAATAAGATTATTCCATAATTTTGCCACTTACTGTATACATATACCAAAGCAAAGGTTTTATCTTACACCTAACCCTCATCATTCTAAAAAAAATTAGAAAGAGTTTTTGATGTTTAAAATAAAGTTTTACTAAATATTTGATGTTAGTTTTTGTCTCAAAAAAATTTTCACTTATTAATTTTAGCTAATGAGTCAAAAAATTCCCGGAAAATTTTTATGTTGCTATGGTAATCATATTAAATACTAAATTCAGATGACAATATTAATATTATGATTAAATTGCAAATTTTGTAAAATTTAAATTGCAAATTAAATAAAGTTAAAACATGAATTTATATTGGGTATTTGTTTTTAATTCAGAATATTTCAAGTAACCAACTCACATTTTGTATAAGCAAAATTTCTTCTCGTATTACTTTGGATGACTACTTTCTTGATGTCAATATGATTATTAAAATCGCCGCATCTTGTTATTTTTGCTTTATACTGAACAAGAAGAAATAATCTCCATAACATTTTTTTCCAAGAAATGTACACAATATTGTCCGGCAATGGTAGTTGATTTCCACCAATCTCTTCATCCTCAATAGACTACAAAGATTTATTGCTAGATAATAAATTTTTAGATTATATTAATATTATTTAATAAAACTTTAATGTTGCAAGAATTTAAATAAAATGTCCGCAACCACAACCCGGAAATGTCTAAATTAAATATTTGCAACTGATAACTATTATAAAAATAAAGATTACACACATTACATTTCACAATTTATAAGTACAATTTTAAATAAAATGTCAATCTGATAAAAGTCCTTAAAAAGTAAAGTATTTTTTCAAAAGTGAAAACTAGATAAATATTGCAAATTTTAAAAGAATACTCGGAGACAATAATAAATTAGCTTTTGAAATACTATTTCGTTGTACGATATCAACCGTCAGCAAATTTCAAATGTTGGAAAATTTATGAAATTGAATTTTGTCCAATGTCACATTGTCAAGCCTCAACATTTTACTTCGATTATTTCAGATTTGTTGTCCAGTTACAGAGTTTGCAACACAGAGTGCGCCAGAACTCGCGCCCCAAAGAAAAATGCCATATAAGGTAAGATACCAGGAACATGGAAAAAATGTTTAAAAAAYTTTATCTATAAAAATTTCGAAGTTATGAGAGTTCAAAGTTTGCACTTTTACTCTATTTATTTCTGTTGGAAAAATAATTTTCCAAGTTTTTTTTGTGGTAGGCTATTAAAAGAGTAAACGAGGAAGCTGTATCCTAAATTGTAACTCTGTTCAATGTTATTTGTGGCTTTCATTGGCAAAATTTTTGTCCCTTTACTAAATAATTGTAAAGAACATAACAAGATCATCAGTATCATTAAATAGATATAAAGAAATGTCAAATATCAAAATTTTTTGACAGATAGAATTTTTTAAACATTTTTTTCATGTTCCTGGTATCTTATTTTACCGGAATTTTTTTTCTGGAGCGCGAGTTCTGGCGCTCCCTGTATAAACTAAACGCTTTCTACATAAACCATAAATATTCCCCTACGTTATTTAAACTTACTGCTTCAATACAATCTTCTAATACTTCGCAAGAATTATAATTTTTACATTTTGCAATTACCACCATACTTGRGTTAAAAATGGAGATTTTGTAATTTTGGTAATCTGGAAATTTCGATTCATAAAGGTGAAAAGTGTTTCTGACGATGTCATCTATTTTAAGATATACGTTTTCTTCAGTCTTGGTAAACTCAGATTCCAGAACTGTGTAGCGTGGAAATAATGTATACGTGCTACCAAAATTTAAAGACTTAAGAAATTGCTCTGTAACTAATGGRGATCCTTGCTCGAAATACATTGTTTGGAGGTTTRCGGGAAACAAACCTGAAATGCGTTAATTATGGAAACAATAATAAAATCAGTGATTAATTATTTACCTGTAGAAAAACAGTGAGAGTAAAGGAAGAAAAGATAGAAAAGGTCATAAATCTTCGGAGGTCTCATCTTTTCAGTTATTATTTGGTAAGTAGGTATGCCTACTTACGGTATCTGTAAAAAGTCATAAAATCAAATTTTAAATTTAAATATGTAATTCATTTATGCTGATTTGATAAATAAAAATTTAGACACTGTTTAAAATAATGGAGAAATTATATGTTTTAGTATAATTCTTGTTAAAACAAGATTTGACCGCTGGTTGCTAAGAATTTAAAGTGGCTAGAGAACTAATCTTTGTAGCTTTTATCGATTAGAATAAAGCTAAAAATTTAATACTTAGACTATTTTAAGACCATTTCCACAATTCACAATAGAGATARTAAACATAATAGTTTTCTTGCTATAAAATTAATACGCAAAGTTCCCCATTTTTTGCCAAGGGCGCAAAATTCATAACAGTGCGTATAAAGTACTCATTTGCACACTGACGGCATTTCTTGCACTAACAGAAACATGACAACTAAGTTTTGAAGTATTTTATAGCTATTAAGGCAACAAAAGTTTTATAGATAATTTAAAAATTGCGGTCGTAGTTTAAATTCGAGCGACCGTCAGGGAGCAAAACCGTTACATTGCGGGCCTAGGTTTACTAAGACTGCTTTGTTAATTTTAGTCCATACTGTGTATTACCTCCTTAAATATTGTTCAATCTTTTTTTAATACCCTGTATGTATTTTTTTTATGCTACACCTTGTCTGAAAACACGTTTATTTTATTTATAATTTTTAACATAAAATTAAATGCTTGCTCTAACTTATTCTATTTCTAGAAGTAATGTTTTCAGCTGAATTTCGGTGGTCTAATTATAAAAAGGAAACTACAAATCACACGTATATGAGCGAAATCATTTGTCACATCTCACACTTTCGATCCTACTAATATCTCCTTTAAAAAAAATGAAATCTACACTGGTCAGAGGTCATAACACACTCTCCATTAAGCAATAATATTTTATGCGTTTTGGTACGATAGGTACTTTCCATCATTAAAAAAAAAGCAAAACAAGGATATTCAAAGCCATTGTATAATGTAATAGTGTACAGACTGAATAAAAAGTAATCCACAAAATTCATCTTTTTATTATAGGTTCTATTTCCAAAAAAATCCTGGAACAGGTCGTTTTTATTYTTAAAAATGCTACACTTTGGCAGTATTGCAACATTTATGACGTCACAGGATTGTGAGTAGTGACCTCATCATTATTTTTTATAATGGCAACCAATATTTTTATTTAATGTTCTTAAACAATTTTTTGTCATGGGAATTTTTATCTCAGTTGGATGTCTTTTATGACCATGCAAGAGATGGTCCGACATTTTTGCATCAGCCCTGTATACAGGGTTATTCATAAATATGAAGCAATATTTGAACCTCAAAAATTAACTATAAAATGATGTTAATTTAAATAATAACTCGTGTCCTATCTCTACTGATAAGAATTTTACAGCCCTCGGAATGTGGGTATGGAAAATTGATTTTTTTGTAATAACTTTGGAACTATTTGACCAAATATTATAAAATTTGGAACATTTCCTTGTGACAACATACCTTTTGAACTGGTAATCACGAAAACCGGATACATCCACTCAATTTCCGGTTCCAGCAGTTGCAGGTCACCTTTTCTGTGTTTTTCCATTTTTTTGCTCTCTTAACACTAATTTTTTATTGCCCAAATAGATAAAGTAATCAATTTAGAATAAAAAACGCATTACCTTTAATACCCCTAAAATGTACCGTTTCAAAGATATTTTAATTTAAACTGAGGACTGCACAACGCTGAAATCAGAAAATATTGCTTTATATTTATGAATAACCCTGTATATTAGTATCGTGCGATCAAGATAATTTGTAATAGAGTCTTCTTTGCATCCGAGAACGTATGTCTGTTTTTGAACTAACTGCACATGAAACGTCAAATAAAATGACAAGTCGAAAGGTAAAACGTCAAAGTGGGCTGGAATAATTAGTCACCCACGTATAATAATAAGAGTAGGATCGTTTTTTTTTTAAAGTAAATTATAAATTTAGTTATTATAATCATCACCTTTTTGATCATGCCACTTTATCTTTCGACTTGTCATTTTACTTGACATACGTTTTCGGATTCAGGGATGACTCGAAAATGTATCATTTACAAAAATAAAATCAACCTGTTTGAGTATTCTATGAAATTATTTTGGTTCAGCCTGTATATTACAACCCAGCTGGGAAATGTGTCATTACTTACTACTCGTACTTCCAAAGTTCTGAACAGTTATGGTTTCGCCTCTCAAAAGCCTTTCGTTATTACCTCACAAACTCGTGTTCTCACTTATTTGTAGAAGAACTATAACNTCCTATCTCTACTGATAAGAATTTTACAGCCCTCGGAATGTGGGTATGGAAAATTGATTTTTTTGTAATAACTTTGGAACTATTTGACCAAATATTATAAAATTTGGAACATTTCCTTGTGACAACATACCTTTTGAACTGGTAATCACGAAAACCGGATACATCCACTCAATTTCCGGTTCCAGCAGTTGCAGGTCACCTTTTCTGTGTTTTTCCATTTTTTTGCTCTCTTAACACTAATTTTTTATTGCCCAAATAGATAAAGTAATCAATTTAGAATAAAAAACGCATTACCTTTAATACCCCTAAAATGTACCGTTTCAAAGATATTTTAATTTAAACTGAGGACTGCACAACGCTGAAATCAGAAAATATTGCTTTATATTTATGAATAACCCTGTATATTAGTATCGTGCGATCAAGATAATTTGTAATAGAGTCTTCTTTGCATCCGAGAACGTATGTCTGTTTTTGAACTAACTGCACATGAAACGTCAAATAAAATGACAAGTCGAAAGGTAAAACGTCAAAGTGGGCTGGAATAATTAGTCACCCACGTATAATAATAAGAGTAGGACCGTTCTTTTTTTAAAGTAAATTATAAATTTAGTTATTATAATCATCACCTTTTTGATCATCATGCCACTTTATCTTTCGACTTGTCATTTTACTTGACATACGTTTTCGGATTCAGGGATGACTCGAAAATGTATCATTTACAAAAATAAAATCAACCTGTTTGAGTATTCTATGAAATTATGACTTTTGGTTCAGCCTGTATATTACAACCCAGCTGGGAAATATGTCATTACTTACTATTTGTACTTCCAAAGTTTTGAACAGTTATGGTTTCGCCTCTGGTATCGTTCAAAAATTGAATTACCGTGCCCTAGATGTTTTTTTCTTTTGTCCTAAAGATATTTACCTCTTACAAGAGCGGGCAAAAAGACCCAAATTTTAATTTGATTCTGATCGCAAAAGCCTCTCCTTATTACCTCACAAACTCGTGTTCTCACTTATTTGTAGAAGAACTATAACTACATATCTTACATGTCACGCTWGTCCGTGACACACCCAATATACATAACATCCACTTTACTAAATTGTAAAGTAAATAAATAAATATAATATAATAAATAAATTCAGTGGAACTCCCATAAGTCAATTTTTTTTAGTCGAATTTTTTCGTAACTCAAATTAAAATGCGAGTCCCTTGACCTATGTGGCAAATTATACGTATTTTAAAGTCTGTAACTAGAAGTTCTAGAATTGATAAATTTCCATTTCTCGAAGTCTATTCAGTGGCAATTGTACAGTGATGGACAGGGAATTTCGTCCACTCAATTTCTGTGAATTCACAAAAATTCACTGTAGTCCGTGCTTTATTGTCATGATAACTGACATTCAAATACGTATTGTCAAATTTAATCAAATTCGAACGTGCCAGCAGTAAGTGCCTTTAATAAAATAAAAATTATCTCTCTAGTACAAAAGGGTATGTCTCAAAGGTAAAAAGTAACAAGAAGCATCAAGCATTCTGTCAATATGACAAACGTTAATCAAAATTCTGAAACAAGGTTAGGAAAACCTAAAGACTACACTTTTAATCTGTCATGGAAATTGGGTGGACGAAATTCACTGTCCGTCACTGTACGAAACAATCTACACTGAAGATGGGACTAGATAGTTCCCGAAACATGATTCGTCGTCAATGGTTTTTTGCTATGTCAAAAAYTACTGAAATCACAATAAGTCACAAGCTGTTTTAATGAAATAAAAACCGTTCAACTTTTTGTAAATTTTATTTAATACCCTGACAGTGCTGTTGCCGATGGATAATGTGACCGAATCCATTGTGTTCTTCCTTTATCAATCTCTACAGTCTTGCGTTTTAACATTATTTCTCGTTCGATATCGTTACGAGCTTTAATTAAATGAGCTTGGGATTCTTGAGCTTGCTTCAATTGAGCTTGAAGAGCGGCYATATTTTCTTTAATAAATTTTACTTCTTCGATAATTCTATAAAAATTTGTTTAAATACAACTTAAAAGAGTAAAATAATACCCGATATGCGGAGCATCACGACAGTTTTCCACCCTAGGACGTCCTAATCTGTTATCAAGGCGAGTCTGAGCTTTTTTCATTGGAAAATCCATTCGTCTAATTGCTGTTTGAAGATCGATTACGAGAATTTCAACGTCAGCTAAATCTTTTAAGATCTAGAATATAGAAAGAAATGTTTATGRCATCGTTTTTCTATTATCTCAAAATTTCTTACTTTCTTCAACTCGTGTTCCAACTTTTGCAAAATCTCTTCAACACAAGCAACCCTCCTGGACAATGCCAACTCCACTCGATCTGCTTGCGACCTTAAATCTCTCGCCGCATTGGTCAAAATTGCGTCCAATGTGGCCCTCAACGCCTCCGATCTCTGTCTCGTAGCCTTAGCTTCCGACAAAGTTTCTTCAGTGAAATGTGTCCAATATTCGGGCGTCGACTGATCCTCCGGAAAAATTACCGCTCCGGGTTTGAATAGCATCGTATTTGAAGTATTCGTCAACGAAATATTCAAAGCTTCGATTTCATGAGCCACAGTTTTGTCACTCCAATCATACTCGAGTCGTTGTTTTGCAGTTTTGTCTTCAAGAAGTTGCGCTTCGATGTCTTTGAGAGTTCTGGTGAAAGTTTCTCTAATTTCCGCCGTGAGGGCGAGTTCTCTTATGAGTTCAACTTCAACTTCGTCTCGGACAATTTCAGTGTCCAAACGGCCGGTTCGGCGCTCTAAACATTCACCAGCAATGGATTCCGGCATTTGAAGTACTCTCGAGGCTTGTTTAAGTCGAAAACGTTGCTCTTCAGTCAGAGTTATTTCTTCCGAAATTGCTTCAATTTCAGCCTCCAATTCGCATTTCCACCGAAACAGTTCTTGCTCTCTTTGACGCAATCTTTTAGTGTTGTCTTCTTGGTTCTTATCAACATCTGCGGAAGTTTGCTGAAGACACTGACGTCCATTCCAATCAATCCTAAATTCACGCAAAAATCAAATTCTGTAACTTAGACATTAATCAAACTTTTACAAATTCATTTTATGCTGCTCTTTGGCCGACATCTCCAACACATCTTTGTTGTGTTTTCTCCACTCTCCTTCACTATACCGTGCAATGGAGTACTTATCAACTACGGGTCTAGTGCCTGTAAGTCCAGCCAAAGGACTCCAGTCGACTCGTCCAGTGGCCCATGGTCCGATGGGTCCCATTTGGGCTTCTTGAATCGAAGGGATGGCATCCTCTGGTTGCGGCAAGTAACAAGGGGCTGGAGGTGATGGAACTGGRCTCAGAGGATTGGGSACTGGGGGTTGGGAATTTGGGTCGGGTTCGGAGGATGGGAATTCGGCATTATTTGTGTTGGYACAAGGGGTGCAACAGGGATGCTTGACGTTGGCTGACATTTTCAACACTGATTTTTGAGGGAAATAGATGCGTTTCTAGGGATTTGTGGGTCGTCATGGTGGAGAAAAATATTGACAAAACAAAGTTGTTTTTAARACTGACTGGTACATACACATTGTCTTTATTTATTAGGGTCTAGCACAGAATTTTTCAACATTGAAAAAGTCTAATCTAAACAAATTAATAATTATCAATAAAGAACCAAAATCATTATTGACATATTTATAGATAGTTTTTGTAAGTTTCTTCAAGCACAACTGTTAGACATCCGTGGAAAAAACAATGTTTCAGTTGGAAGTTGGTTTTGCGGCAGAGTCAAATTGAAATCTGGACCTTTTTAGAGACTCGCGTCTGTACAGTTGCGGAATTAAAATTTCGGGCAGTATTTTTCTGTCACTTCATAAAGTTCACTGTAAACTACCTTTTATTTTTATGATTCAGTGAAAAAAAAGTTAATTTTTTTCTTGATTTTCGAATATTTTTTTCAAAATCAAGAGAAAAATGAACTTTTTTACTTTTTTAATTACAGATTTGATTGTTTCAGCAAAAAAAATTTTTTCTTTGCAGTTTTTGCGTAAAATCAAAGATTTGATTCGTGTGCAACTGTTATCACAACGACTACTACCTACAAGCTAACTGAGGCTAATCGTAGAATGTACCAACAAAATAAATCAGGTGACTTAATGTATTTAACATTACTCGAAAGTGAAAACTAGTCGATATATTTTTTTTAATTTGGATTTGAACTAATAAAGAGATACTCTACACGATGGTGATGATGAAAAAAAATTTACTTGTAAGATTTTTCTTAGATTATTTCCATTTACTTCGAACTTTTTCGAACACTGTTCGAAGAAAAGCAAATATTAAAGTTTAAATTGCATATCATTCTAAAGGACAAGTCCATCTCTTTAGAATGGTCTTTATTTGAGGGAAATCGGCCTAATAGTTATTGAGTAATAATTTTATAAAGTTAAAGTATTTTAAATTCATTTAAATTAGAAAAAATTATTTAGTTCAAAGTTTGTGGACTTTTTAATTTTTTTTTAGTGCATTTGAATTGTGTCACTGAGACGAACAAAATCATATATAATTTGTCAAGTTGTCATAACATTAGTTTTCTTTGTCGTTCTGTGTAATGAAGTTTTAATTACAGATTTGCTCGTTTCAGATAAAGCAAAAAATGTTTTACCTTTGCAGTTTTGGCAAAATGAAAGACAGAAAAACATACAGTATACATTAGTATAGTTTTGGGAATATTTTTGTCATAATTGTGTAAACATTTTTTTATTATTATCGTGGAGGGATTATTATTCAAACATAAGCAGCTTAGCTTTTAGTTTGTACTCGTATTATTGGTTTCGACTGAAGAGAAATACTATTATTTTGGGTAAGTATAAAACACATTTTATTATTTATAATAATTCAGTTTATATAGWCCAAGAAATGCCGTTGGTTCTTCAGTGAATGTCGCGTTCTCTTAGAGAAAACAAATAATTTTGGCATACTTTTAAGTACAAGACGTATAATGCTGTAGCTGTTCTTCTTTGAGCTAGTGTGAATCAAAAATTAAAATTCTATTACGATTAATTTTAAATAGTGATTTATGTATCAAYGGAATAAACAACTATTTTAATCACAAAAATGTAGGAAATGCTAGGTGCGACCCAAAAAAACTGAGGGCGTTTTCATTCGAGYAATTATTGATGTTTATTCCAGAGATGTATACAAAACTTTTCTCTCAACAGATTAAATACAGAAATAATTTGTCGAAATATTCAGTTTATTCAATTACAATTTTAAGAGTAAAAATTGGTATTTTATTCTTTTCCGAGTGTAAAGTACCAGATTATTATTATTTAAAAACTAGAAAATAAAGCGTTACATTAAATTCCTTGACGGGAAGAAAATAAATTTTCTATTTGAAAATATAAATACCAGGTGTCCCAGACAGGTAGGCTTGGATTAGGAATTTAACATGGGAAATTAGTTTTTATTTTTTTCCAGCTGCATGAGTAACAGAAATCAAAATCTGATTAATGGAGGTTGTAGTGCTTGAAGAGGGCTATCTTATCGACACTTTTGTCGATTCTCCAACTAACTCCATTTGGGCGAAAACGACCCTCGAAAAATCAAAATTTGAATTTGTCGGGTTAGCTTTACTAAGAAACGATATATCAAGTCATTGTTATGAAAAAAAGATTGTCAGCTAAAAGCCCTTGCTATGACTTGATGGTTCGTTTCTTAGTAACCCAAACATGAGGGCCGTTTGTGCCTAAATGGAGTTAATTGGAGAATCAACAAAAATGTCGATAAGATAGCCCATTTCCAGCAGTACAAGGTTCATCAATCAGATTTTCATTTCTGTTACTCCTGCAGGAAAAAACATAAAAACTAATTTCCTATGTTAATTTTCTATATCCAAGCCTGCCTGAGAAACCCGGTATATTTACATGGGCTTACTTTAGATAAAATTATTTTGATTAGATTATTATTTAAAGAAGGCGTGTTATTAAGTAAACATGTATATATTTTTTTATCGTTATCGATGTTTTCATGTTTTAAATAAATTATGTTACGGAAAATAAAGTAAGAAATTATTTATTCTTTTTCATAATAAAACTTTCAATTTTATAACAAAATTTATTACAGTTAACCCGGCGCATCCACCATTTTTAACGCATTTTAAAAATTTAAGTTTTTAGTAGAAATAAATTTTGTAATACAAGAAGCGCTTAGAAAGTAGTGCACCAAACCAGTGGGTACATTGTTGAGAAAGATACAGATTACAAGAAAAATATAAAAATATAATATATTTTATAAAATCTGAAGCTAAATCTTATTTCAACAGCAACATGCATCTTAATCCTTTGCACTCAGACTTGCAGTGAACTTCCAAATCGAAAGATATCAAACTGGACAAGATAGGAATGAGATATAAAACGGATTACAAATTACTAGCTGGTAGCTACATTGTGACATTCAATCTTACATGAATTGATTACAGGCAATCGATCTTCAAAGGCAACCCAAAATACATTCTCAGATACCACTATGCGTTAATTGATAAACTATTTGAAATTTTTCAAATATATAAATATAAACAAACAAAGATATCTGTGATAGCTTTAACAGTTTTTGAAAATTGGCTTACTACAGTGTACCTTTGACGGTACAGATTCAGTCARAACATTTTTGTGGCATTCTACATGTATCAAGATTWTGTCAGCTTTTGTTGTTTGAGTATATTTTGAATTTAAGGAGAAAAAAGTGGAATTAATGACACTGTCAAATTTAATGACCATCAACAACCACTTTGATTCAAATTTATTAAACTAAATTTTTCATAACTAAAGCCAAGTTAATCTATGAAAATCGGTTAGAGTTTTTATTCCAAATCGACTCTCTCAACGAAAACTATAGCAACTCATAAAAATTGGTTTTTGAGTACAGTTGGTGACACTTTAGTCATCACTTTTCTGACACTTGTAATGTAATGTAATTTAAGCTTTAACATTAAAATAAATGACAATTTCCAATTAATGACAGCTATTATATTTTCCTAACAAAAATATGTACATACAACTTGTCAACTATGATTGACAGTAGCTAAAAATAAGGTTAACAGTCCTAAAGCATGCTTTACATTTAATGTCACTCAAGTGACATTGACGACCAAAGTATTTTGTCTCCAACTGTACGATGGCTTATGTAGGGTCCAAAATACAAAAACAATGAGAAAAAATTTTTCTGAGTAAACAATATTACTACCAAAATTTAGACCTTTAGCAATTTTCAATAATATTAAACAGTTCCTTGATTTTTAATTAACAATCAAAGATTCAATGCAAATTTTTATAAAACTGTAATTTTTGAGTTACTATAGTTTTTATTGGGAGGGTCGAAATGACTCATCCTGTATATTCGTTTTCAATTTTGCAAAATAAAAACTTTTACTACACTTTTTATATTAATTATTTAAATGTATAACAATGATAAAACATTTGTTGCTATCCGGAAATTTTTTTTTAAATTAATTAATTAAGCTTGTTTTTTACTTTTTAATCGTTGAGTTTAAATGCTATCATAAATTTTGTAATTTACAAATCTGTATTTTACTCCTATACACTTCAGTAATAGCAGTTGTATAGTTGGTTGCCTATAATTTATGTAGTTTTTTTTTTCTATTCGACATAAAAGAACAAAATTATTACTAAAAATCTAAATCCTACTGTTTTAACAAACATTAAAAAATACGTTTTATAATTATTTTAAATAAACTTTTGTCAAAGCAAAAAGCGCGTAATTTCGAAATTTATTGGTGCTTTTGTCACACTTTGTTGGCCACAATGCTCCTCACACCAAAAACAAAACCAAGATGTCGTCCGTCAGCTGTCCGCGAACCTTCAATCGAAATAAATAAAAGTGCATCCGTCGAAAACCGTAATTGTTAACAGAAATAAATTTGATGAAACGTTCGGACGCGTTCAGCATGTAACAAGCATGGGCTTTGGCGAAAATGTCAACGGGCACAGCGACATTTCTAGGCACTGTGAGAATAAAATGCAGCTGTACGCCCCTTCTCTTGGAGAATTTGGACCGAATTTCGGTGTTGTTCGCGGCGCGACTTGAGGAGGCCCACAGCAAAGACGAGTTTGTCGATTTCGAAGTGCATTCGTTGGCCCCCAGCGGGTGCGAACGCGCCCCCAGCGCTGACTTCATAACCAGGTTGCAGGTATGTGGGGCAGGGGGAAACACGGATCTGACCCGCCGAACGGGGACACTTTTACTTTTTACATCAGGTTTGCCGGAATAATGGCCGTTTTTGAAAGATAAGGCTGGCGGTGAAAGGTGAGCTTTTCGAAGGTTGAAATTCATCCTGGACCACTTCCGGATGAGTTACGTCACCGAGTGGCCCCTTTTCGCAGGTCAGAAGGCCATGGGGCTACTGGAGACGTCGCCCCTTCATTCGTTTAACAGTTATAGTGTTTTCATGTTTAACTATGATTTTATACATTTTTCACGAAACATTGCATTAGAAGGAAAATCTATTTAATTTGTTTCAGCTTAGTTGATACTTCATCTGAAATTTTTTATTTTTCATGGTCAACCAAATTTTCCTGACAAGATAATTATATCATAAATAAATACACATTTCGAGAATTCTACCTCGCCTAGGTAGAAAAGTTACGTTTTAGAATTCAAAGAAGAACCACGGGGAAAGTACGTCTAGAAGTCTTGATGAATTTCTAATGAAACTTTGAACCGGAATCGGAAATTCTACAGAAGTCGAATTTTTTTAATTGCACTTCTGTTCAATGTTAACATTGTCATAATCTAGACACGAAGAAACCTTGATCTATGCGAAATACAATAGATATCGCGGACATCCTTAATGAGGCAAAAAGATATTTTTTTAGATTGTGTTTCACGGTTATCGTTAGTGATTTTTCCAACCTTAACAATTTTTATCGTTATTGACGATTCCTTAATGTTGCTTCCGTTTGAAGAGGAACGACGTGAAAGTTCCCAATAAATCAAATCAACACAAACTGTATTTCCCCTAAATCGAGGACAAGAAATTGCTTTGTTAAGATTGTCACGAGTTATCGATTATTATGTATACAAAACTAGTAGTGCGATGATTTCCAATCGTTCTTGATAGATAAATTACCAAACGCGATGGTTTTTTATCGTATTATCGAATACAAATCATTGTTGATTGATTTTATTGTATTGTAAAGTTAATTTGTCTTGAACAACCGCAATTACCACATCGGTAGTTTCAGTAAGATACAAGTTATGAGCTGCTTTGAAATGCCGATGTGATATCATTTATCTTAATCATGTCGGAGGTTAATTCAATGTTCTTCGGTTATAAATTTGTATGTCAAATGTTTGAATTAATGGTATCGAAGATGTATTCATTTTCTTTTTCGCACCCTGTATGTGCTTTTCTTTTCAACTACTGGGGGAGAACTAAAAAACGATTTGCTAATTAAAGTCAAAAACTTAAATTTTGGGATTAATAAAAAAAAATATTTTTTTTTAATTAAGATAACAGCCACAGAGCTGATAAAAGTCTAGGGTTGCAACAAAAATAAATAAGAATAAAAATGAGAGTGGTAAAGTTTCAATTGAAATTTGACAGGTGTGAGAGTCATTAACATGAATCAACTACGACTCGCCTTTTGTTGTTGTAATAGTTGCGTCATTAGAAAACAACAAGATAAAAATTTTCAAACAGTTGAAAGTTGAAGTCATATTTAAAAAAGAAATAAGTAAAAAAGAATTGTTAAAAGTAACTTTACCTTAGAGATTGAGATGTCATATTGAATTTATTGTTCCAGTTTTCGACATTAGAATGTCGACAATAATAAATAACTTAATTATTTATATGTATAATTTATACAAACGTTTATCTAGACGATTTCCATAACAAGATAACGAACCATTTTTCGGTAGTTTTACTTTCCACTGACGTCACAATGGGATTTTATATTACCAATTAAAATTAATTATCCGTTATTCGCAATACTAGCATTTAAAATTGGAAATGTTATCAACGAATCACCATACGTAAAGATAAATTTAATTGAGTGTTATTTTTGATTTGTTTTCATCGTAATGGGTGTGATTTTTTCATTTTTTGCAAACAAAGTTTATCACATCTGTTACATACTACATAGATAAAAATAGACTAGATGTTTGTTACCGAGTGTGTCGAATTTTTGCTTAAGACTTTTGGTGTGGGAAGAAATTATTGTGTGGAAAAGCATTTATTTCAAAATTGTAAAGTCCGGTTCATTAGTTCACTTTAGAAATAAGAAGCAAGAAATATGATTTTGGTTACCTCAAAATTCTCGAAATTTTTCTGCGCGTGCAGGTCGTGAAACCTTGAAGTATTGAATTAAATCAAAAGTAATTATTATTCTTTTGGATTCTTCGTAAACCTTCATCGGTAGATCGGATTACGAGGATTTATGTATAGTATATAATTTTCGATAATAATTTTTACCATACGCCGGAAATTTTTGTCATTTGAGTGAAAGACATGTTTGGAAATTTTCTTGTGTGTTGTGACGTCGAAAGATTTTTCTCCGTTTTAACACTCCATTATATTCATTAATTACGGAATTTCTTGCCCACATTGAAAATAATTAAATAATTATTGCATTCGCTTAGATTAAGCGTAATAAACATTAACATTAGGATAATCGCAAATAGACAAAAACATGTTAGCTTAATAGCATATAATTTAAGTGTTAAACTTAGATCAACACCGAAGGTACTTAGAAAATTGTATTTACAGTGGGGATTGTTATCTTTTAAAATATTAATGAAGTAAATTCAAAAACATTTAGAATCTTTAATCTAGTATTTTTATTGTCTATTGTGAATGCTGACATTGGAGAACAGTAATTTCATGCATATTGCACGATTTGTTGAAGTTAGAAAGTGTACAAATTATGCACTGTCGCATTTGACAGTTATTTTTAAACTTTGAAATATTCTGAATTTTGTTGTTTCTGTGGAAGTTATTACTGTGTGTGTAATTGGCTTCATGTAACCTAAAACCACAAAATTAAAAACAAAAACTGAAACTGAAAAAAAATTATCATTATCAGTATCATTAAATTGACATAAAAAATGGCAAATGGCAAAAAATAAATGTCAAAATTTTTGACATAATTTTTTAAACATTTTTTTCTATGTTTTTGGTATCTTATCTTACTTAAAATTTTTCTCTGGGGCACGAGTTCTGACACACCTTGTATATGTACTATAGGATGATTCAAAAGTGTCGGACCATCTCTTGAGTGGTGATAAAGGACATTCAACTAAGTTAAAAGTTCCCATGAGAAAAAAAATTGCTTGAGCTTTTTTTCACGAGATATAGCTTTTCAAAGATTAGATATTGGTTTAAGTTTTTGGCCGTTCTTATTATGTAATCTTAAATTTAGTCAGCGGCAACGGCAGATCTTGTAAGACTGATACCTGTTGAAAAAAATCACCAATTTGTGCCTTATATGGTGTAAAAAACATTTAATAAACTAGAAAATTTAACAGTAAATTAAAACTAACAACATCGGAAAAAAAAAACTAAAAAGCCTACATGATAATATAAAAATTGACAATTTTATTTATTTTTTTTTTTTTAGAAAAAAGCTTGAAACAAAAATCTGAATTCATTTTTATGCTTAGCTGAAAGTCTTCTATCACTATTCGAGAGTTGGTCCGACATTTTTATAAATATAAAATTTCGCTAAAATATAATCTTATTTTGGCAAACGTTAACATTTTCATGAGATTTAAGGAACCCGATCTATCGYTGGACAAACTATAAAAAAGAGTACTCAATAATAATTATTTGTGTATCAAGGCCGTAAAAGTGATGTCTTTTAGACAAATCTGTCGTTTCCAACCTAGGCGTCAGCTGAGGCTACAATTTAGATCAATTCCAAAAAAAGAGAGTTTGACAGATGTGTTTAAGAACAATTTTTTTGAGTTGAGTTGGAGTTCTCAATGAAAGTTTATTCTACTCATCGTTTTTTAACCTTCTAAACGTTTAAATATTTGTAAAGTAAGAGAAACATAAATATTTTGCATCCTAGATTCCTACAGATTTCCAAGGCAAATTCGAAAATTCTGCACTTAAGAGTGTTAAGTACACTAGCTGAGATTCAAATGATGAAAAATTCATTCGAATGACTCAATCTTTGTTTATGTAATAAATAAAGTACGGTAATTTCGTCCTGCATTATTGCACTCTTGTTTTTTCTCTCATAAATTAGCTTCTAGCACCTTCCGAGAGAATAGTAGAGGTAGAGAAGCTATGGCTTTGGCGAGGTGGACGGGAGTAGAACGAGCGAGCGGTGTCCTCGTGACGTCAAGCGGAGATCCGGGTCGTGTGGGGTATGCCACGGCACGGCATAGCCACGGCAACGTTTGGGTCGGTGAACCATGCCGAGAGAGTTGCCTGCCGCGCCGGACCTCCATGGACGGACGATGCTTGTGACCTACTCGTGACGATGCTCCAAGACGGATGGAAACGACCGCCTTTTTGTTTTTTTTTTCTCCTAACTTTTTATGTCTTTCATACAAGGATGCGTAAACCAGACCATGACACGGAGACGTAATCACCGAAACTTACCGTCGAAAGTAGAACGGTTAAGTTAGTTTCTTGATTAAGTAGTTGCAGCGAAGATGTTTTAATTTTAGTTATATCTAACTAAACTTTTATTGTTCACATTATAGAGATATATTTTTGAATATTTCATAACAATTTTGGTATATCTAAAGTCTGTTTTTTTTTTAATGGAAATGCCAAACAGTCTTAACGTTGGCATCATTAGTAAATTCATTCATGGTAATTTTAATAAAGGAAGTTGGCAGTTCCGGTTTTTTGAATTAATTTAAAAACTGTCATTAAACGTCAACACAAAAAATCGTTAAAGAAAATTTAGAGACGAAACACCAAAAAAGAAACAAATTCGGTACACTAACAGTTTTTCGAAATTTGTAAACAAATGGTTCCCAAGCAGGAAGTTAGAAAAAGTGCCCGTTAAAATATAGACGCAATTTGTAATGTAGGTTTGCTAAACATTCTCAATTTTTAGCAAGGAATTGACAAGAATACAAAATAAACATGAATGAGAAAGAACCTCGGAAAGAACGCAATTAAATTAGTGTCTTGTGCATCGTTTTTGAGGAACGAGTTGAAAAAGTAACAAT